TGTGTGTGTGTGTGTGTGTGTGTGTGTGTGTGTGTGTTTCTGGGGATGGAACCCAGGGCCTCATGTAAGTTAATCAACACTCCACCCCTGAACTGGTATCCTGAAGGAGGGAAGGGCACTTAAAATATGCTTAAAATTCTTCACTTCCTACAAAATCTAATCCAAATTCTTCATCCAAAAGCCTCCATATGGGATGGGAATGTAGCTCAGTGATAGAGTGCTTTGCCCAGCATAAGTGAGGCCCTAGGTTCAATCCCCAGTACTGCAAAAGAGCTAGATTAAAAATTAATTAAATTAAAGTTTCCATAATTCATCAGAACAATTTCCCAGTACTTAGGCCACAAAATCAAACCACTGTGTTCTAAATACACCCGAGATTTCAGACCTCATGATTCGTCTGGGATATCCTCACTCTGGCTGATATGTCACTCTCTTCTATTTTCTTTTGTCCACCTCCTACTCGACTTTCAAGGCCCTCAATGTTATTTTGTCCATAAAGCCTCCGGATCCTTCTCTACTCAAGAAGCCACCTCCCCCACTCCTCCTCAGGGCTGCACCGCACTGTCTTGTTCCTCCCCAGTGACACTTTCCATTCTACCTGGAGCGGTGATTGGTGGTTGGCTGGGGGTTTCTTGTGGGCAGGGGAGTAACCTGCTTATCTCCGTCTGCCTGTCCCAATCCCCAACAGACAGCTGACACTTGGGGTTGACTGAAAAAAAATGAAGGAAGGAAGTGAGCCTCCTAAGGAAGGGCACGGAACTGTCTAGTAATGGAAACTGGAACCGCAAACCCGCCAAGCCCGATGACCCACAGTAACAGGTGTTTCCATCTCTGGTGTCTGTGATTCATCTGCACGGCTGCGCACTCACACAGCGTAAGCCTACCGTCTCCTGGAGTACAACGCCCCACACGCAGACGTGCACACCGTGTTCGGGCCGCCCTGGAGACACACCTCAGCGACAACCAGGATCCACGAAAAAGGAAACCCTGCACCCTTAAGATATTAATGCCTTACTGCCAAAAGAAAAAAAAAAAAAAAGCCCCAACAAAACAATACAAAAAACCAAGAAGCTATGGTTGTGCCTACTTCTCTTGCTCACCGCTGCATCTTTTGAGTTTTTAAGAAATCTATGCATGCATCTCGTTGCTGCCCTCCTACACACACACACACACACACACACACACACACACACACACACACACACCACCCTTCCCCC